CAAAGGTACCTGGGTCCCCAGTGCCCCCCAGCCCCACATCCCCCTCTCCCAGACCCCCCAACAGACCCCGTTCTCCAAGGGAGCACCTGCACCCCCGAAGCACTCCAAAGTATCTGGGCCCCCAGAGCCCCCCCAAAGGAGCACAAGCCCCACATACCCCCCATATCCCCAGGCACCCAGCCCCACAAGGACCCACATCCCCACATCCCAGACCATCCCAATAGACCCCATTCTCCAACAGACACCAGCACCTGCACCCCCAACACACCCAAAGGTACCTGGGTCCCCAGACCCCCCAGCTCCCAGCCCCACATCCCCCTGTCCCAGACCCCCCAACAGACCCCGTTCTCCAAGGGAGCACCTGCACCCCCAAAGCACTCCAAAGTATCTGGGCCCCCAGAGCCCCCCCAGAGGAGCACAAGCCCCCACATGCTCCCCATATCACCAAGCACCCAGCCCCACAAGGACCCACATCCCAGAGCATCCCAATAGACCCCATTCTCCAACGGGCACCAGCATCTGCATCCCCAACATCCCCAAAGAACCACGAGCCTCCAGACACCCCCAAGCTCCCAGCCCCACATCCCCCTGTCCCAGACCCCCCAGTACAGCAGCACCTGCACCTGTAGACCCCCCCAAAGGACCACAAGCTCCCAGATACACCCCATATCCCCAGGCACCCAGCCCCACAAGGACCCACATCCCAGAGCATCCCAATAGACCCCATTCTCCAATGTGCACCGGCATCTACACCCCCAACACCCCCAAAGAACCACGAGCCTCCAGACACCCCCAAGCTTCCAGCCCCCCATCCCTCTATCCCAGACCCCCCCATTAAGCCCCATTCTCTAACAGGCACCAGCATCTGCATCTCCACCCCCCCCCCCCCAAGGACCACAAGCCCCCACGTACCCCCATATCCCCAGGCACTCAGCCCCACAAGGACCCACATCCCCGAGCATCCCAATAGACCCCATTCTCCAATGGGCACCAGCATCTGCATCCCCCCCCCCCCAAGGACCACAACCCCCCACATACCCCCCATATCCCCAGGCACCCAGCCCCACAAGGACCCACATCCCCAGGCATCCCAACAGACCCCATTCTCCAACGGGCCCCATCATCTGCACCCCACACCCCCCAACGGACCACGAGCCCCCTGCGCTCCCCCAGCCCCACATCTCCGCCGATGCCCCCCCCCCGCTCACCGCTTGCCGTGGGGGGAGAGCTTCTGCGGGACGTTCCTCTTCTTGATGAGGGTCTCGACCGCGTTCCCGTGCAGGAGCCCCCGCGGCGCCCGCGGCTTGAAGAGCCCCGGGTACCGCTTCTCGAGCGCCTGCTCCCGCCTGGGGGGGGCACCGCGGGGTGGGCGCGGGCACCGGCACCGGTGGGGGTGGGACTTGGGGGGGGGGGACTGGATATGGGGGGTGATGGTGGTGGCTATGGGGGGGGCAATAACCGGGGGGGGGGCAATGGCCATGGGGTAATGGCCATGGGGGGGGGAAATGGCCATGGGGGGGTGACAATGGCCATGGGGGACAATGGCCATGGGGGGTGATGGTGGTGGCTATGGGGGGGGCAATAACCGGGGGGGAGGGGGCAATGGCCATGGGGGGATGATAACGGCCATGGGAGGGACAACGGTCATGGGGGCTGACAATGGCCATGGGGGGGGGCAATGGCCATGGGGGGGGTGACAATGGCCATGGGGGGCAATGGCCATGAGGGGGACAACGGCCATGGGGGGGTGACAATGGCCATGGGGGGGACAACGGTCATGGGGGCTGACAATGGCCATCGTGGGATGACAATGACCATGGGGGTGGCAATGGCCATGGGGGTGGCATGGGGGGGGGGCAATGGCCATGGGGGGATGACAGTGGCCATGGGGGGGTGACAATGGCCATGGGGGGGGCAATGGTCATGGGGGCTGACAATGGCCATCGGGGGATGACAATGGCCATAGGGGTGGCAATGGCCATGGGGGGGGACAACGGCCATGGGGGAGGCTATGGCCATGGGGGGGGCAATGGCCATGGGGGGGTGACAATGGCCATGGGGGGGGCAATGGCCATGGGGGGGTGACAATGGCCATGGGGGGTGACAATGGCCATGGGGGGGTGACAATGGCCATGGGGGCAATGGCCATGTGGGGGCAATGGCCATGGGGGGCAACGGCCATGGGGGGGGTGACAATGGCCATGGGGGGATGACAATGGCCATGGGGGGCAATGGCCATGGGGGGTGACAATGGCCATGGGGGGGTGACAATGGGCATGGGGGGATGACAATGGTCATGGGGGGCAATGACCATGGGGGGGGTGACAATGGCCATGGGGGAATGACAATGGTCATGGGGGGATGGCAACGGCCATGGGAGGGGCAATGGCCGTGGGGGGGGGGGTAGCAGTGATCATGGGGGGAGCAATGGCCATGTAGGGGGGGGCAATGGCAATGGGGGCAATGGCCATAGGGGTGGCAATGGCCATGGAGGGGAGTAATGGCCATGGGGGAGTGACAATGGCCATAGGGGTGGCAATGGCCATGTAGGGGGGGCAATGGCCATGGGGGGATGACAATGGCCATGGAGGGGAGCAATGGCCGTGGGGGGGGGCAATGATCATGGGGGGGACAATGGCCATGTAGGGTGGGCAATGGCAATGGGGGCTGATAATGGCCATGGGGGGGTGACAGCGGCCTTGGGGGGTGACAATGGCCATGGGGGGGGGGGGGGGTAAGGGCAGGCCATAGGCTTGGGGTGGCCATGGGGCAGGTACAGGGTTGGCTCTGGCCATGGGGTACAGGCAGGGGTGGCCATGGCTGAGAGGTGGGGATTGGGGTGGCCATGGGGTAGATCCAGGGTTGCCCGTGGCCCTGAAGTGGGTGTAGGGCTGGCCTCAGCAATGGGGTGGCCATGGGATGGGTCAAGGGGTGCCACTAGGTGCTCTGGGGGGGCTGTGGGTGCCATTGGGTGCTGTGGGGCGCTGTGGGCTGCTGTGGGTGCCATTGGGTGCCACTGGATACCATTGGGTGTCATTGGGAGCTGTGAGTGCCATTGGGTACCATCAGGTGCCATTGGGTGCCATTGGGTGCTACTGGGTGCCATTGGGTGACGTTGGGTACCATTGGGTGCCATTGAGTACCACTGGACACCATTGGGTGCCATTGGGTGTCATTGGGTACCCTTGGATGCCATTGGGTGTCACTGGGTACCATTGGGTACCGTTGCGTGCCATTGGGTACCATTGGGTACCGCTGGGTATCGTTGGGTGCCATTGGGTACCGTTGGGTACCGTTGCGTGCCATTGGGTGCCATTGGGTGCCATTGGGTACCGTTGCGTGCCATTGGGTGCCATTGGGTACCATTGGGTACCACTGGGTGCCATTGGGTACCGTTGGGTACTGCTGGGTATCATTGGGTGCCATTGGGTACCGTTGGGTACCGTTGCATGCCATTGGGTGCCATTGGGTGTCATTGGGTACCGTTGGGTACCGCTGGGTGCCATTGGGTACCATTGGGTGCCATTGGGGGCCATTGGGTGCCGTTGGGTGCCGCTGGGTGCGCACTGACCTGAGCAGCTCCTTCTCCTTGAGCTCGAGCTGCAGCATGAGCGCACTCAGCTCCATGTACAGGTTGTTGGCGCGCTCCAGCTTGCGCTCGTAGTGCTCCCGGATGTCCAGCGCGTGCCTGCGCACCCACAGCGCCCCATGGACCCCATAGCACCCCATAGCGGTCCAGAGACCCCATAGCACCCCATACACCCCTTAGCACCCCATAGTGCTCCATAGCACCCCATGGACCCCATAGCACCCCATACACCCCTTAGCACCCCATAGTGCTCCATAGCACCCCATAGACCCCATAGTGCTCCATATGACCACATAGCGCCCCATAGACCCCATAGCAACCCATGGACCCCATAGCACGCCATACACCCCTTAGCACCCCATAGTGCTCCATAGCACCCCATGGACACCATAGCGCCCCATAGACCCCATAGCACCCCATGGACCCCATAGACCCCATAGTACCCCATAGACCCCATAGTGCTCCATAGCACCGCATAGACCCCATAGACCCCATAGCACCCCATAGACCCCATAGACCCCGTAACAACCATAGCACCCCATAGCACCCCCCGGCACCCCATGGCATCCCATAGACCCCATAGCATCCCACAGACCCCATAGCACCCCATAGCGCTGCATAGCATCTACAGCACCCACAGCGCCCAACAGCATCCCACGGCGCCCACAGCACCCATTGTAACTCCACAGCACCCACCTCGCACAGGGACAGGCACCCAACAGCCCTCCCTGTACCCCAGCACCTCTGTGTCCCCCTGCGCCCGGTACCCCAGCCGTGTGCCCATATCCCCCTGCCCCATAGCCCCATGTGCCCCATAGCCCCATGTGCCCCACAGCCCCTGTCCCCTGCCCACCGGAGCTCCTCGCGCCGGCGGTTGATGAGCTCCTCCTCCAGCCGGTGCAGACACGTCCCCTCCGACTTGATCTTCTCGAAGTGCAGCTTCACCTCCTCGCGCCACTCGGCCTGGGGCAAACAGGCACCGGGTACAGCGGGTACCGCATGCACCGGGCACCGGGGACCAGGGGCACTGGGTACCATGGGCACTGAGCACCATGGGCACTGGGTACCATGGACACTGCACACTGGGTACCATGGGCACCGGGTACCATGGGCACTGTGCACTGGGTACCATGGGCACCGGGTACCATGGGCACTGTGCACTGGGTACCATGGGCACTGGGTACCATGGACACTGCACACCGGGTACCATGGGCACCGGGTACCACAGGCACTGCACACTGGATACCATGGACACTGGGTACCATGGGCACTGGGTACCATGGACACTGCGCACCAGGTACCATGGGCACTGGGTACCATGGACACTGCACACCGGGTACCATGGGCACTGGGTACCACAGACACTGCATACTGGGTACCATGAGCACTGGGTACCACGGGCACTGCACACCAGGTACCATGGGCACCGGGTACCACAGGCACTGCACACTGGATACCATGGGCACTGGGTACCATGGACACTGCGCACTGGGTACCATGGGCACTGGGTACCACAGACACTGCATACTGGGTACCATGAGCACTGGGTACCACGGGCACTGCGCACTGGGTACCATGGGCACTGGGTACCACGGGCAATGCGTACCACAGGCACTGCACACTGGGTACCACGGACACTGCGCACTGGGTACCATGGGCACTGGGTACCACAGGCACTGCACACTGGGTACCATGGACACTGCGCACTGGGTACCATGAGCACCGGGCACCATGGGCACTGAGCACTGGGTACCACGGGCACTGAGCACTGGGTACCATGGGCACCGGGCACCATGGGCACTGCACACCAGGTACCATGGGCACTGGGTACCATGGGCACTGCACACCAGGTACCATGGGCACTGGGTACCACGGGCACTGCGCACTGGGTACCATGGGCACCAGGTACCATGGGCACTGAGCACTGGGTACCATGGGCACTGAACACCAGGTACCATGGGCACTGGGCACCATGGGCACTGCGCACTGGGTACCATGGACACTGCACACTGGGTACCATGGGCACCGGGTACCATGGACACTGCGCACTGGGTACCATGGGCACTGAGCACCGGGTACCATGGGCACTGGGTACCATGGACACTGCACACCAGGTACCACGGGCACCGGTACCATGGGCACTGGGTACCATGGGCACTGCACACCAGGTACCATGGGCACCGGGCACCATGGGTACTGAGCACTGGGTACCACGGGCACCGGGGACCAGGGGCACTGAGCACTGGTACCATGGGCACCAGGTACCATGGGCACTGAGCACTGGTACCATGGGCACCGGGTACCACAGGCACTGCACACTGGATACCATGGGCACCAGGTACCATGGACACTGAACACCAGGTACCATGGGCACCGGGCACCATGGGCACTGCACACCAGGTACCATGGGCACTGGGTTCCACGGGCACTGCGCACTGGGTACCATGGGCACTGGGTACCATGGACACTGCACACCAGGTACCATGGGCACTGGGCACCATGGGCACTGCACACCAGGTACCATGGGCACTGGGCACCATGGGCACTGAGCACTGGGTACCACAGGCACCGGGGACCAGGGGCACTGAGCACTGGTACCATGGGCACCAGGTACCATGGGCACTGTGCACTGGGTACCATGGGCACTGGGTACCATGGGCACTGGGTACCACGGGCACTGCACACTGGGTACCACGGGCACTGGGTACCATGGGCACTGCGCACCGGGTACCATGGGCACCAGGTACCACAGGCACTGCACACTGGATACCATGGGCACTGGGCACCATGGGCACTGCACACCAGGTACCATGGGCACTGGGTACCATGGGCACTGTGCACTGGGTACCATGGGCACTGAGCACTGGGTACCATGGGCACTGGGTACCATGAGCACTGGGTACCATGGGCACCGGATACCATGGACACTGCACACCAGGTACCATGGACACTGCACACGAGGTACCATGGGCACCGGGCACCATGGGCACTGAGCACTGGGTACCATGGGCACTGGGTACCATGGACACTGAACACCAGGTACCATGGGCACTGAGCACTGGGTACCATGGGCACCGGGTACCATGGACACTGCACACCAGGTACCATGGGCACTGAGCACTGGGTACCATGGGCACCGGGTACCACAGGCACTGCACACTGGATACCGTGGGCACTGGGCACCATGGGCACTGAACACCAGGTACCATGGGCACTGGGTACCACGGGCACTGCGCACTGGGTACCATGGACACTGCACACTGGGTACCATGGGCACCGGGCACCATGGGCACTGAGCACTGGGTACCACGGGCACCGGGGAACAGGGGCACTGCACACCGGGTACCATGGGCACTGGGTACCATGGGCACTGTGCACTGGGTACCATGGGCACTGGGTACCATGGGCACTGGGTACCACAGGCACTGCACCCTGGGTACCACGGGCACTGCACACTGGGTACCATGAGCACTGGGTACCACAGGCACTGCGCACTGGGTACCACGGGCACTGGGTACCGCGGGCACTGGGTACCACAGGCACTGGGTACCACAGGCACTGCGCACCGGTACCATGGGCACCAGGGAAACCAGGCACCAGCTACCGTGGGTATCAGCTGCACCAGGCACAGGGCACCCCGGGCACTGGACAGTATTGGGCAGAGCTGCTGTGAGCACTGGGTTATATGGGCCTGGGTGCTTGGAGGTGCTGGTGCTGGTGCTTTGGGGTGTGGGTTCTTTGGGGTGCTGCGTGCTTTGGGATGCTGGGTGCTGGTGCTTTGGGGTGCTGGGTGCTTTGTGATGCTGGGTGCTTTGGGATGCTGGGTGCTGGGTGCTTTGGGATGCTGGGTGCTGGTGCTTTGGGATGCTGGGTGCTGGTGGTTTGGGATGCTGGGTGCTGGTGCTTTGGGGTGCTGGTGCTTTGGGATGCTGGGTGCTGGTGCCTTGGGGTGCTGGTGCTTTGGGATGCTGGGTGCTGGTGCTTTGGGGTGCTGGGTGCTGGGGGCTTTGGGATGCTGGGTACTGGGTGGTTTAGGGTGCCGGGTGCTGGTTCTTTGGGATGCTGGGTGCTGGTGCTTTGGGGTGCTGGGGGCTTTGGGATGCTGGGTACTGGGTGGTTTGGGGTGCCGGGTGCTGGTTCTTTGGGATGCTGGGTGCTGGTGCTTTGGGGTGCTGGGCGCTGGTGCTTTGGGGTGCTGGTGCTTTGGGGTGCTGGGTGCTGGTGCTTTGGGGTGCTGGTGCTTTGGGGTGCTGGTGCTTTGGGGTGCTGGGCTCTGGTGCTTTGGGGTGCTGCTGCTTTGGGGTGCTGGGTGCTGGTGCTTTGGGGTGCTGGGCTCTGGTGCTTTGGGGCGCTGGTGCTTTGGGGTGCCGGGTACCTGTGATTTGAAGTACGTCTCCTGCGGGGTGGACAGGACGTCGGCGGAGGCGATGTCGAGGTGCAGCAGGATCTGCCGGAACGAGGGCCGGTTCCGGGGCTTGCTGTTCCTGCGGGAGCCGCACGGGGGCGCTGCGGGCGCTGGGCCATGGGGGGGGGCAGCACTGACCGGGGTCCCCCCGCCCCTGCCCGCGGTGGGTGCCAATGGCGGGGTCCTCATTGGGTGCCCATGGAGGCGTCCCCCCTGGTGTGAGCCTTCCATGGGGTGAGGGTCCCATGGCTGTGTCCCCATGGGCTGTCCCAGGGGGTGCCCTCGGGGGGGGTCTCCGTGTCGGGGGGTCCCCATGGAGTGGGAGTTCCCACGGGGTGTCCCAAGGGTGGGGAGTCCCCATGGCCTATCCCTAGGTGGGGGTGACCCCAGGTAGGGTGTCCCCATGCAGTGTCCCCATGGCTGTCGCTGTACCCCCATGCAGTGTCCCCATGGCTGTCTCTGTGTCCCCATGCCTGTTGCAGTGTCCCCATGGCTGTCTCTGTGTCCCCATGCCTGTTGCAGTGTCCCCATGGCTGTCTCTGTGTCCCCATGCCTGTTGCAGTGTCCCCATGCCTGTTGCAGTGTCCCCATGGCTGTCTCTGTGTCCCCATGCCTGTTGCAGTGTCCCCATGCAGTGTCCCCATGGCTGTCGCTGTACCCCCCATGCAGTGTCCCCATGCAGTGTCCCCATGGCTGTCGCTGTACCCCCATGCAGTGTCCCCATGGCTGTCTCTGTGTCCCCATGCCTGTTGCAGTGTCCCCATGCCTGTTGCAGTGTCCCCATGGCTGTCTCTGTGTCCCCATGCCTGTTGCAGTGTCCCCATGCAGTGTCCCCATGGCTGTCTCTGTACCCCCTTGCAGTGTCCCCATGGCTGCTCCCATGCAGTGTCCCCATGCCTGTTGCAATGTTCCCATGCCGTGTCCCCATGGCTGTCCCTGTACCCCCATGCAGTGTCCCCATGGCTGCTCCCATGCAGTGTCCCTATGGCTGTCTCTGTGTCCCCATGCCTGTTGCAGTGTTCCCATGCAGTGTCCCCATGGCTGTCTCTGTACCCCCTTGCAGTGTCCCCATGGCTGCTCCCATGCAGCGTCCCCATGCCTGTTGCAATGTTCCCATGCCGTGTCCCCATGGCTGTCCCTGTACCCCCATGCCGTGTCCCCATGCCTGTTGCAGTGTCCCCATGGCTGTCTCTGTGTCCCCATGCAGTGTCCCCATGGCTCTCTCTGTGTCCCCATGCCTGTTGCAGTGTTCCCATGCAGTGTCCCCATGCCTGTTGCAGTGTCCCCATGGCTGTCTCTGTGTCCCCATGGCTGTCTCTGTACCCCCATGCAGTGTCCCCATGCCTGTTGCAGTGTCCCCATGCAGTGTCCCCATGCCTGTTGCAGTGTCCCCATGCAGTGTCCCCATGGCTGTTGCAGTGTCCCCATGCCTGTTGCAGTGTTCCCATGCAGTGTCCCCATGGCTGTTGCAATGTTCCCATGCCGTGTCCCCATGCCTGTTGCAGTGTCCCCATGGCTCTCTCTGTACCCCCATGCAGTGTCCCCATGGCTCTCTGTGTCCCCATGCAGTGTCCCCATGCCTGTTGCAGTGCCCCCATGCAGTGTCCCCATGCCTGTTGCAGTGTCCCCATGCAGTGTCCCCATGGCTGTCTCTGTCCCCCCATGCAGTGTCCCCATGGCTGTCTCTGTCCCCCCATGCAGTGTCCCCATGGCTGTCTCTGTCCCCCCATGCAGTGTCCCCAGGTCCCCCCTCCTTGGGGCCACGTCCCCGCGCTCTCACCAGCACTGGCGCAGCAGCACCTTGAAGCCGTCGGGGCAGCCGGTGGGCACGGGCAGGTGGAGGCTGTTGCTGCCCACGCCCCAGATGATGGCCGAGGAGTCCACGTCCTTGTAGGGGATCTCCCCGGTCAGCAGCTCCCACAGCACCACCCCGAAGGACCTGCGGCACCGCCGGCCCCGTCAGCCCCTGCCCGCTCCCTGCCGGCCCCATCGCCCCCCAGCTCCCCCCCTCGGCAGCGCCGGAGCCCCAGGCCCTCACCAGATGTCGACCTTCTCGGAGACGGGCTCGTTGCGGATGACCTCGGGCGCCATCCAGGCCACGGTGCCGGCGAAGGACATCTTGGTGCTCTTGTCGATGAGCTCCTTGGAGGTGCCGAAGTCCGAGATCTTCACCACGTCGTCGTAGGTGATGAGCATGCTGCGGGGGCACCCGCTCAGCGCCGCCGCAGCGCCACGGCGGCGCCATGCCAAGGACACGGCAACAACGTGCCACCGGCACGCCGATGACATGCCAATGACGTGGCAACAGCATGCCACCGACACACCAATGACATGCCAATGACATGGCAACATCATGCCACCAACATGCCAATGACACACCAATTACACGCCAATGACACGCCAATGACATGGCAACAGCATGCCACCAACATGCCAATGACACACCAATGACACGCCAATGACACACCAATGACACGGCAACAACATGCCACCGACACACCAATGACATGCCAATGACACGCCAATGACATGGCAAAGACACGCTAATGACATGCCACAGCAACATGCCACCGACACGCCAATGACATGGCAACAGCACGCCACCATGCCAATGACACACCAATGACACGCCAATGACACGCCAATGACATGGCAACAGCATGACACCAACATGCCAATGACACACCAATGACATGGCAAAGACATGCTAGTGACATGCCAAAGACATGGCAACAACATGCCACCGACATGCCAATGACACACCAATGACATGGCAATGACACAATGACATGCCACCAACATGCCAATGACACACCAATGACACGCCAATGACATGGCAAAGACACGCTAATGACATGCCAAAGACATGGCAACAACATGCCACCGACATGGCAATGACACACCAATGACATGGCAACAGCAACGTGCCACCATGCCAATGACACACCAATGACACGCCAATGACACGCCAATGACATGGCAAAGACACGCTAATGACATGCCAAAGACATGGCAACAACATGCCACCGACATGCCAATGACACACCAATGACACGCCAATGACACGCCAATGACACACCAATGACATGCCAATGACATGGCAAAGACACAGCAACAACGTGCCACTGACATGCCAATGACACACCAATGAAACAATGACATGCCACCGACATGCCAATGACACACCAATGACACAATGACATGCCACCAATGACACACCAATGACACAATGACATGCCACCAATGACACACCAATGATATGACAATGACATACCAACAACACACCAATGACATGCCAATGACACACCAATGGCACACCAACAAGACACCAATGACATGACAATGACACGTCAATGACATGACAATGACATACCAACAACACACCAATGACATGACAATGACATGGGCATGGCACCACCACGGGCATGCAACTGCTACAAACATCATTAGATCATGGGCATGCCACTACATGACACCGTCATCAACATGGGAATGGTCATGGGCATGCAACTGCCATGACCTGGTCCTGCTGCGGACATGCCACCACCACAGACACAGCACTGTCAGCACAATGAGCATGGCACCACCATGGACCCACCATGAGCATGGCACCATCATGGACCCACCATGGGTATGGCACCACCATGGACCCATCATGGGTATGGCACCACAATGGACCCACCATGGACCCACCATGAGCATGGCACCATCATGGACCCATCATGGGCATGGCACCACCATGGACCCACCATGAGCATGGCACCACCATGGACACATCATGGGTATGGCACCACAATGGACCCACCATGAGCATGGCACCACCATGGACACATCATGGGTATGGCACCACAATGGACCCACCATGGACCCACCATGGGTATGGCACCACCATGGACTCACCATGGACCCACCATGAGCATGGCACCATCATGGACCCACCATGGGTATGGCACCATCATGGACCCACCATGAGCATGGCACCACCATGGACCCATCATGGGTATGGCACCACCATGGACCCACCATGAGCATGGCACCACCATGGACACATCATGGGTATGGCACCACCATGGACCCACCATGAGCATGGCACCACAATGGACCCACCATGAGCATGGCACCACCATGAACCCACCATGAGCATGGCACCACAATGGACCCAGCATGGGTATGGCACCACCATGGACCCCCCATGGGTATGGCACCACCATGGACCCACCATGAGTATGGTGCTGCCATGGACCCCCCATGGGTATGGTGCTGCCATGGACCCACCATGGGTATGGCGCTGCCATGGGCATCCAACTGTCATGGACATGCAACCACCAAGGACCATGCCACAGGCACAGCGCTGTCATGGACGTGTTGGCACCACCATGGCCACGGCCACCACCACAGCTACGGCAGCACCACGGTCATGTCACCACCAAGCACATGCAACTGCCACCATCGTGCAACCACCGAGGCCAAGGTAGCACCAGGACCATGCACCCACCTCATGCACGTCCCCACCGCGGCCGCGCCATCACCGGGGCACCCCCAGCACCCATGGGTGCTCCCCGGGCCCAGCCCCTCTCACTTGGGCGACTTGAGGTCGCGGTGGATGATCTTGTGCAGGTGCAGGTAGTTCATGCCGCCGGCGATGCCCATGGACCAGTCGACCAGCAGGGATGGGGTGACCTTGCGCCCGGCGCGCAGCACCTCGTAGAGCTGCCCCTGGGCGCAGAACTCCATGATGATGCAGTAGCAGGGTGCTTGGGTGCACACCCCCCTGCGGGCACACGGCACCCTCAGCACCCGCAGCTCCAGCACCACCGGGGCACCCAGTGTCATCAGGGCACCCAATGTCACCGGGACACTCACTGCCACCAGGCACCAGTGTCACCGGGGCACCCAGTGTCATCAGGGCACCCAGTGTCATCAGGGCACCCAACGCCACCGGGACACCCAGTGCCACCAGGCACCAGTGTCACCGGGGCACCCAGTGTCATCGGGGCACCCAGTGTCATCAGGGCACCCAATGCCACCAGGCACCAGTGTCACCAGGGCACCCAGTGTCACCAGGGCACCCAGTGCCACTAAGGCACCAATGCCACCAGGGCACCCAGTGCCACCAAAGCACCTATGTCACCAGGGCACCCAGTGACACCAAGACATCAGTGTCACCAGGACACCCACTGCCACCAAAGCACCTATGTCACCAGGACACCCACTGCCACCAAAGCACCTGCATCACCAGAACACCCAGTCCCACCAGGGCACCAATGTCACCAGGACACCCAGTGCCACCAGAGCACCCAGTGTCACCAGGACACCCAGTGCCAGCAGGGCACACAGTGCTCCCAGAGCACCCAGCACCATCAGGGCACCCAACTTGACCAACTTCACCAGGGCACCCGTAACTACCCAAGTACCTGGCAGCACCCATCAGTGTTGGGGCACCCAAGGCCCCCCTAATGGCAATAGGAACACCCATCTGCCCATGGACACCCCTCTGCACCCACATCAGCTGTGACAGACCTGTCCCATGTGTGGTGGTCCCTGTGCCACATCTGGGATGCACCAGCGTGCCCCATGTCCAAGGGTGTCTGCACCCCATGCCCATGCGTGTCTGCACCCCGTGTCCATGGGTGTCTGCACCCCGTGTCCGTGGGTGTCTGCACCCCGTGTCCATGCGTGTGCTGCCCACCCCGCTCCATGCCACGCTGGGCTTGCCCATGCCCGTGCCATGTTGGTGCCCCTTGCCCATGGCCTCTCTGCCTGTGACCATGGCATGTCCTTGCCGTGTCCATGCCCATGCCCTGTTCATGCCCATGCTGTGTCCATGCCCATGCCGTGTCCATGCCCATGCCGTGTCCATGCCCATGCCGTGTCCATGTGCATGCCATGTCCATGCCCATGCCGTGTCCATGCCCATGCCGTGTCCATGTGCATGCCATGTCCATGTCCTTGCCGTGTCCATGCCCATGCCGTGTCCATGCCCATGCCGTGTCCATGGGCATGCTGTGTCCATGTGCATGCCCTGTCCATACCCATGCCATGTCCATGTCCATGCCCTGCCCATGCCCGTGCCGTGTCCATGTCCTTGCCGTGCCCATGCTGTGTCCGTGTGCATGCCATGTACATACGCATACCGTGTCCATGCCCCTCCCGTGTCCATGCCCATGCCGTGTCCATGTCCATGCCGTGTCCATGCCCGTGCCGTGCCCATGCCCCTGCCGTGTCCATGCCCATGCTGTGCCCATGCCCATGCCATGTACATACACATACCGTGTCCATGCCCATGCCGTGTCCATGCCCTCTGCACGTGGTGGCCCCCCCATGGCATGTCCATGGCCTGTGCTGTGTTCATGCCACGTCCATGCCTCCATCCCTCAGGCCATGTCCATGCTGTGTCCATGCCCAGGCCATGTCCATGCTGTGTGCCCATGATGTTCTCCATTCCCCATGCCCACGGCTTACCCGTGCCATGGCCAAGTTCCATGCCCACAGCATGTCCCTGCCCCACGCCATGTCCATGGTGCCCCCATGGCCATCACCCGTCCCTGCCCTACACCATGTCCATGGTGTCCCCATGGTGTCCCCATGGCCATCACCCGTCCTTGCCCCACACCATGTCCATGGTGTCCCCATGGCCATCACCCGTCCTTGCCCCACACCATGCCCATGGTGCCCCATGGCCATCACCTGTCCTTGCCCCACACCATGTCCATGGTGTCCCCATGCCCATCACACATCCTTGCCCCACACCATGTCCATGGTGTACCCATGGCCATCACACGTCCTTGCCCCACACCATGTCCATGGTGTCCCCATGGCCATCACACATCCGTGCCCCACACCATGTCCATGGTGTCCCCACGGCCATCACACATCCGTGCCCCACACCATGTCCATGGTGTCCCCACGGCCATCACACATCCATGCCCCACACCACGTCCATGGTGTCCCCATGGCCATCACCCGTCCTTGCCCCACACCATGCCCATGGTGCCCCATGGCCATCACACATCCTTGCCCCACACCATGCCCATGATGCCCCATGGCCATCACACATCCTTGCCCCACACCATGTCCATGGTGTCCCCATGGCCATCACACATCCGTGCCCCACACCATGTCCATGGTGTCCCCATGCCCATCACACGTCCTTGCCCCACACCATGTCCATGGTGTCCCCATGGCCATCACACAGCCTTGCCCCACACCATGCCCATGGTGTACCCATGGCCATCACACATCCGTGCCCACACCATGTCCATGATGCCCCATGGCCATCACACATCCTTGCCCCACACCATGCCCATGGTGCCCCATGGCCATCACACGTCCTTGCCCCACACCATGCCCATGGTGCCCCATGGCCATCACACATCCTTGCCCCACACCATGCCCATGGTGCCCCATGGCCATCACCTGTCCTTGCCCCACACCATGCCCATGGTGTCCCCATGGCCATCACACATCCGTGCCCCACACCATGTCCATGGTGTCCCCATGGCCATCACACAGCCTTGCCCCACACCATGCCCATGGTGCCCCATGGCCATCACACATCCGTGCCCACACCATGGCCATTATGCCCCATGGCCATCACACATCCATGCCCCACACCATGCCCATGGTGCCCCATGGCCATCACCCGTCCGTGCCCCACACCATGTCCATGGTGCCCCATGGCCATCACACGTCCTTGCCCCACACCATGTCCATGATGCCCCATGGCCATCAGACATCCTTGCCCCACACCATGCCCATGGTGCCCCATGGCCATCACACATCCGTGCCCCACACCATGCCCATGGTGCCCCATGGCCATCACACATCCATGCCCCACACCATGCCCATGGTGCCCCATGGCCAGCCCCCGTGCGTGCCCGTGCCCCCGCTCACTTGAAGGTGATGATGTTGGGGTGCTTCAGCTTGCGCAGGTGCTTGATGTCGGTCTCCTTCAGGTCCCGAACCTTCTTCACGGCCACCTCCTCGCCGTGGAAGCGCCCCAGGAACACGGCGCCCTGCGCCCCACTGCCCACCCACTGCAGGTCCAGGATCTCCTCGAACGGCACCTCCCAGGGGTCTGCGGGCACAGCACCCATGGCACCCATGGCACCCACATCCGTGGCACCCATGGCACCTGCACCCATGGCTTCCGCACCCATGGCACCTGCACCCATGGCTTCCGCACCCATGGCACACATGGCACCCATGGCACCCATGGCACCTGTGCCCATGGCACCCACACCCATGGCACCCATGGCACCCGCACCCATGGCACCCATGGCACCCATGGCACCCGCACCCATGGCACCCACACCCATGGCACCCGCACCCATGGCACCCACACCCATGGCACCCACACCCATGGCACCCATGGCACCCATGGCACCCACACCCATGGCACCCATGGCACCCGCACCCATGGCACCCACACCCATGGCATCCATGGCACCCGTGCCCATGACACCCATGGCACCCATGGCACCCATGGTACCCATGGCACCCATGGCACCCACACACATGGCACCCATGGCACCCACACCCATGGCACCCATGGCACCCACGGCACTGGCACCCACACACATGGCATCCATGGCACATGCACCCATGGCACCCATGGCACCCTCACCCACGGCACCCCCACTCATGGGACCTGCACCCGTGGCACCAGCAACCATTGGAGCTGCACCCCTCCTGCACCCACGGCACCCACACATGGGCACAGCCAGGGCGCAGCCCCCCTGGGCACCCACTCCCTGCCCCACTGCACCCTTCCTGTTGCCCCCTCCTCTGCCCCCTTTCCCCTGCCCTGCTGCCCCTTTTGCCTGCTGCCCCCCAGCACCCACACTCACCCACACCCCCTGCCCCCACCCCCTGCCCCCAGCACCCTTCCCTGCCCCCAGCACCCACACATACCCCCAACCCCTGCCCCCACTCCTGCCCCCACCCCCTGCCCCCAGCACCGCAGCCCCCCTGCCCCCAGCACCCACACATACCCCCACCTCCTGCCCCCGCCGCCTGCCCCCACCCCCTGCCCCAGCCCCTGCCCCCAGCACCCACTCCCTGCTCCCAACCCCTACCCCCAGCCCCTGCCCCCAGCACCCCCCCCGGGCACCCACCCCCAACCCCCGCATCCAACCCCTGCTCCCAGCACCCACCCCCTTCCCCAGCAACCCCCCCGCCCCCACCCCCTTGCCCCAGCACCCTCCCCTGCCCCGTGTCCCCAGCCCCTGCATCCAACCCCTGCTCCCAGCACCCACCCCCTTCCCTCAGCACCCCCCTCTCTCCCAACCCCAGCCCCCAACCCCTGCCTCCAGCCCCCTCCCCTACCCCCTGCCCCCAGCACCCAACCCCTGCCCCCAATCCCTGCCCCCAGCCCCCTTCCCTGCCCCCAGCCCCTTCCCCCAGACCCCAACCCCAGCACCCACCCCCTTCCCTCAGCACCCCCCTCTCCCCCAACCCCAGCCCCCAACCCCTGCCTCCAGCCCCCTCCCCCACCCCCTGCCCCCAGCACCCAACCCCTGCCCCCAATCCCTGCCCCCAACACCCTCCCCTGCCCCCAGCCCCCTTCCTTGCCCCCAGCCCCTTCCCCAGACCCCAACCCCTGCACCCACCCCCTGCCCCCAGCACCCACTCTCTTCCCACAGCACCCTCCCCTGTCCCCAGCACCTACACTCTTCCCCCTGCCCCCACCCCCTGCCCCCAACCCCTGCCCCCAGCCCCTTCCCCCAGCCCCCAACCCCTGCCCCCACCACGCTCCCCTGCCCCCATCCTTCCCTGCCCCCAGCCCCCACTCTCTTCCCCCAGCCCCCACCCCCTGCCCCCCCCGCTGACCCTCCTGCTGGCTCTTGCTCTCCGCGCTGTACGCCTTCCCGATCATGCTCCACACGGGCTTCAGGCACCCGAAGAGCCCCTCCAGGAGCCCCCCCCCCCCCGCCTGGCACCGCAGATGCGCGGCGGGGGCGGGCAGGGGCCGCGGGGGCTCGGGGGGGGCAGCGGCGGGGCCCGGGGGGGCGGCGGGCGCGGGCGCGGGGGGCAGCACGTCCCGGAGCACGCACTGAGTGGGGGTGAGCTCCTGCTCGGGGGTCCCGTCCGAGCCCAGCGCCAGCGACGGCGACGGCGTCCGCGTCTCGTGCAGGCAGGCCATGGCGGGGGGGGGACCCCAGAGCCTGCGGGCAGAGGCTCGAGTCGGGGCACCCACGGGACACCCCCATGGCACCCACGGGACATCCCCATGGCACCCACGGGACATCCCCATGGCACCCAGGGGGACCCCCCGATGGCACCCATGGGACACCCCAGTGCATCCATGGGGACCCCCAGTGCCTCTATGGAGACACCCCCATGGCACCCACGGGACATCCCCAATGCACCCATGGGGGACCCCCCCGATGACACCCATGGAACACCCCAGTGCATCCATGGGGACACCCCTATGGCACCCATGGGACATCCCCATGGCACCCACGGGACATCCCCACGGCACCCACGGGACATCCCCATGGCACCCACGGGACATCCCCATGGCACCCAGGGGGACCCCCCGATGGCACCCATGGGACACCCCAATGCACCCAGGGGGACCCCCAATGCATCCATGGGGACCCTCCCAATGCACCCATGGGACACCCCAGTGCATCCATGGGGACCCCCAGTGCCTCTATGGAGACACCCCCATGGCACCCATGGGACATCCCCAATGCACCCA